GTCCTCAACAACTTTGAGCCGAACTTGTGGTGGTCGCGCCCGAAAGGTTTTTTTCATCAAGCGGGTTGTAAAACACGCGTAAAGGTAAATCCCTTTGTTACCGAACCTCGCGACATTCCTCAAAACAGACTTGCTATCGTTCCTTCCCGCCACTTCACGAAAACCACCGACCTCTGCGTTGCGCACCCTGTCCGATGCGCCGCAAGAACAACAGAAGGGTCCCCTGCCCTCTGAACGCTTACGCGCACAATGCGTTTCTCTTTTCTTTGCTCTCGGGCTATTCGGACGCTTGCGGTACGGCAACTTTTTTGCAATTTCGCACCGCCATTTGAATACATTCCCCAAACGCGTCGCGATTTTCTCTTGCCTGTCTTTAGGACGCTTTCTCCATTTTTCACGCATCTTGGTGCCGTCTACGGAGCCTTTTGCCCACCTCTAATGCTCATAGGCACCCACATGCTTGTTAGCTCTTACGTGCGCACTGTCCTGATGATTGCCTAGAAATTTATCATTCTAACACAACAGTGTACGACGCGCTTTTCTTTTCCGGCGGCTCGGACGCATACAATACAGACCCATCAGAGATGACAACGTCACTTTTCTCGCAATTTCACTCTGCCAATTGAAGCCCTTACTCAAACGCGTTGTGCTCATCGCGAGCTTTGCCTTACTGTTGCCCTTCGGACGCTTTCTCCCATGTGCACGCTTCTTTGCGCGGACTTGGGAGCCTTTCGTCCCACTCGGACGTTTTTCATCATCGATATGCTCCTCCGCTGTCTCGCGCGCACAGTCCTGATGATCGCCTATCAGTTAATCGTTCGACCGCGGCAGCATAGATTGCGCTTTTCTTTTCCTTAGTAAACTCCGGCCGCTCAAACGCATGCGAAAACTGCTCACTTAATTAGCGGGGCGATTCGCGGCGGGTGCTGCAGTCTCTTAAGGAAGATTTAGTATTTGTTGTCTTCTCTCGAACGGCTTACGGTGTCGTGGCGACACGACGTCTCACCCTTCGGCTAGGAGGGACAATGCCTGGCGGTCATAGGCAGCCGGCCGGTCGGCTACTTGTTTGAAGATCCAAAGAGCGCCGCTCCCTTGTCAGCTCTGGCGCCAGTCGCCACAATCCACAGCCACCAGCGTGATACGCCAGTGTTCTCAGATCTCAAAGGTGATGACGTTGAAGAATGGCTACAGACTTACGACCTCGTCAGCTGGTTGAACAGGTGGGATACTCTACACAAGTTACGTACCGTCCCTTTTTACCTGACTGATGTTGCGAAAAGCTGGTTTTGGAACCATCTCAAAAATCTTCCCAAATAGGACATGTTGGCACGGCAGCTTCGTCATATTTTTGGTGCCCCCACTGTTCAAGCTGAGACAGCAACGAAGAAGCTTGCTGAACGCATTCAACTGGGGGGTGAATGCGTTCCTCGTATAACGAGGATGTTCTTGCTTTGTCCAAGCGCGTAAACTCATCTATGCCCCGAAGCGACCAAATAGCTATATTAGCGAAGGCATAATGTTGCTAAGCTATCCTTCGACATTCTTTCGAGAAGCATGTTTTCTGCTAAACACTTGCAACGGATTTTGTGCGAGTTTTGTGTTGCATTCGGTGGCTCATGACGACGATGCCTAAAGTGGGTATGTGCCACAGTTATTAGGTGGTGAAGAACAAGCTTTTGCAATGTGTTGGAGCATTGGACGACCCACTTGTTACGCAATTCGCATTGTGTGACGCCTGGTTGCTCCTTCGCTATCCTAAAATGCTTTATTACTCATATTAACGCGATTCCTCTCCCAACATCAAGCATGCCTAAGGCAAGTTTGCGAATGCGTCTCAAGCACCGGCATGGCTCAGCAGTAGAATACTGGGCTGAAACGCAGTGGACCCGGTTTCGAATCCCACTATGTCACCACATGTCTTTGGTGTTTTTATTTGAGTTTTTTTTCTTTCGTGCAATAGTGGTTACAGACACCGGCGGCGGTGGAGGACAACTACAGTGCTGCGCGTCAGCCGTATTGTCATCTCATAACAGCTTTCACTGTGAAAATTTTGCCTAATAAATGGCAAACTCATGCAGAAGATGTGATGAAACCTGCTCAAACATTTAGCAGTCATAGCTTCTTCAGTGCAAGTGTAACAGTTTGGAATAGGGTTATGCTTCCTGGCTATAGGAATATGGGAAATGGGTCAATAAATTGCGCAACATAACCAATAGGCTCTCTTTGTTTCTTTAACAAAGCAAGAGCAGATGTCATATTTTATGAGATGCAGTACTTGCAAATGATACATAATCATCAAATTATTATCAGCAGTGATGTTTTTACATTTGTGAGTTGTGGGGTCTCGATGTCACCCTCTGTTGCTGCAGTTATGTGCAGCAAGCGTGATCATGCAGTATTTAGTGATTTACTGACTATACAAACAATACACCAGCTGAATGTTAAACACTGAAACTTTTAAGTATGGTAATGTTTACCCCCAAATGCAGAGATGTTACTCGACTCGTACTTGACTCGTTCTTGACTGAAGACAGTCTTGCCAGTCGCCATAAATTGTTCACAAACTTGCGGACTACTTGAAGGTGACTTGGCCCGGTCGAAGTCAGGACAAGTTTCAAGTCAGCTGCGGGGCCAGCTTGAAAGCAACTTCATGCGTTATTCCAACATGGCCACCTCTCGAATGGACGTCGCGTGGAGGATGGCCGCTTTTGAGTTTGCTTGCCTCGCCATAAGCGTAGCATTTCCCGAGGCGCACTGTCTGCCGAAGATTCCTCAATTTGCTTTACGTGACCGAGGAAATCTCATGAAGTTGTACGACGAGAAACAATTCCATGTTCGATACAGATTGACAAAGAACGCTGTACGGCAGCTACTGGCTATGTTCCCACTCCATGAAAGTGGGGACAACCGAGGACAGCCTGTGCCTTCCATGATACAGCTACTGATGGCGCTCAGGTTTTAAGGCGCTGGCACATTCCAAACAGTCACCGGGAATCTCGTCCGCATTCCCTAGTCGACAGTATGCCGTGCAACTGGAAAAGCTACGCTACTCATCGCAAAGCACCTGTACGCGATGCTGGTGCGTTTTCCGCAGCCGGCGGCACTTCCTAAAGTTATGCAGGACTTTTATGAAGTGGCTGAGTTCCCTGGTGTTACAGGAAGTGTTGACTCTACACACGTGCGTATTAATAGCCCCGGTGGTGACGACGCTGAAGTGTTCCGTAACCGCAAAGGCTATTTCTGTTTTTCTAGATCATGACGACATTTTCTGTCATTTCCATTTCTTTCGGTAAAACATTGGCTCAGCACTGGGTCTGTGTGCCTTGTCTATCCTTTCGTCCCGTCTAGGGCATTGTTTCTCACTTAAGACAGGCATTGTTTGCAGCACAACGCTACGACAAATTCCACACACAAAAAAAGAGGTGCCCCTGTCACAGGTTTCCTGACCATGTGCCTCTTCCTTCACTATCATGTAGCGAGACATTACTGCACCCCACGAGACAAAATTCCGCCGAAGGCAATGTCGGGACGTCCTCTTTTTTTCTTGTTTACCAAGCTCGACAAAAGGGTATGAATCACTTTTGTTCCCAGAACATGTTGCTTTTTTTTTATTTTTCATATATAACTGTCACCTAGGCCGCTACAAGCATGTTCACAGCCGAATATAAAGTTGACTACATTGAAAGTCGCGTTACCTCGTGAGCCAAATCATCACACGCACACTGCAGCATTCCATTGAAAAAAAAAAAACGACGAAATAGCCCAATGCGATGCTTGTTTCGCCTTCAAACAAGCAAGCATGAAGAAACGCGCTACACTTTGGTGGCCACTAAATCCAGCAGACAACAAACGCTTTACGCAAGCAACACAGCGCATCGCTGCGGCGGCAGGCACCACGTGCCGCTTGTTAGCCGTAAAATGGCAAAAGTATGCTTGAGGCACTTTGTTCTTATAGTTATTTTGAAATGTACGATCTTTTTTGCTGTAACATGTGCATTACGTGAACAACTTCATTATTAAGCTCGTTACCAGGCGAGCAATTTGTTTCTGCATTGAAGCTCGTTCTTGACTTGACCAAGCAAAACAACCTGAGCATCTATGAAACGCGAAGACCGACTTGGGCATTTTCAAGTACGCTGCTCGCTTCGCACCGACTTACTCAAGTCGAAGCGCGGGCTAAGTAATATCTCTGCATTCGAGGGTTAATCATTTGCAATCTTGCCTACAGGAGATATCTCGGTTTGAAAAAGAAAGAGAATGGCAGTAATGAAGGCAAAGTTAGTTTCAGGAGAATCAGCCAGAAACTAAGACAGACTTGTTTTAAGCCTACTGCTTGTTCTATTACATCTATATTCATGTGTTAAAAACCACTTTCCCCGCCTCCCACATCTGTTTTTACTTTGTTTGTTACACAGCTGTTCTCTGCCAGTGCACCCAGTAGCGATAGGCTAAAATGTGCAAGTCGTGCAAAGGAGCCAACCATGGCGATGTGATCGACATCCAATTGAGCCCGAGCACATTTGAGAATCCACCTCATGAGACCTGTACTAATGCCACAATTTGCGCTGCTGTCTCAATTCTGCTGCCACTATACAGCAGCTACAGAAGCTTTCCACACAGTACATAAGGCAAGAAGTGGCTTCTTGGATATAAGGATTCTGAAATTCCTGACTTACATAAAATAAATGTGGTAAATAGTACGTGAAATAATGTATATGAACTTTTTTACTTATACCTAAACAAGCAGTTCAATATTTCAAAATCACTGTTTTCCAGAAGTTACACTGTTTTTTAGTGATGTTTGAATATTTGGACACTATTTGGATAACCTTAGTTTTTGTTACTAAAACTTACAGCCCAAGGCAGCAAATGCGAGGTGCGTATGTATCAACAAGTTCACAACTTCGCACCCTAGCAAAAATAAGAAATATTCCAAGTCTGTATCCTGGATACACTTATCTTATAGGGATGTTAGCCTGAGAAAGCTAAAAAAAGCTCACCTCTCCAATGTTGAAGGCAGTCACTGACTTGATTTTGATTTCCGGTACATGGTGGCTGCACAAGCAAGTACATGTTTCCCAGTTAGCTAGGGGCATAAGAAAGCCATGGACCCCTTCTGTAGCAGAGTTTTTTTTTCTTGTGTACTCAATTTTTTACAAAAAAGAGTACAATTCTAGCAAATCTATCATTTGATGTAAACTGCTGTTTCAGTGGTGGGAATGCCTTTCAGCATTTTGTAGCAGCCAATGGAGCAGGCAAATGTGCTTTTGTTTGAAGCACGCACTGTGGGCTTTCCATGACACATACAGAGAAAAATTTAGCTTTAGTTTGGCTTAATGTTCCCACAGTTTACATAATCATTTATTTAGAAGCAGCAAATCCACAAAATAAACAAAAGTATTATTATGTACAAAAGCAGTGACAAATGATTGTGAATGATATTGCAACAACAAGTCAAGTGCAGCATGAGGTTCTAACAGAACGTGCGCACACCCACTCACATAGATGTGCCCACGTAGAGAAAGGGGGTGAGGGCGAGAGGGGTTTGCAAAGTGAGCCTCATACATCAACATGATGGGAAGAGGGGCACTACGACAAACCTTCACCCCCCTCTTTCTCTCTTGAAGGAAAACTTTGCGCACGCTACCCCCCCCCCCCCCCACACACACATTCAAAGCTTGTTATATCAAAACTCATTAGTTCCCATATACGGGCCAACAACATGGCTAACTGCGCACTAAACGTAGCATGCATTAGGTAATCACCATATACCGATTCTTTACTTGCGCCATTGCCGCTAAAGGAGGAACAAATACCGTGCCACAGCAAATACTGCCATAGTGCCCACCACCAAGCCCTTTCTTTCTGTTTGAAAATTTTCATAAATGATTGGCACTCTTGCACGGCTGTCCGATGGCACGTGGTGGTGCATCAAGGAACATTTAGAAGCTACTCCAGAGTCCGGGATACGCAGCCGACGCAGCGACTGGCATAGCGACGAAACCGACATAAGGGGCTGTTCGCGATCAATGTGTACTACGATCAGCTATTTAGTGAAAAACAGACACAGCTTTTCTGATGCGCGACACGGATGCACCGAGCCGATCGTATAGTGGCCAGTTGCGTGCCCCGCTTCCCCTACTAGGCATACCCACCACACCGATACGCTTGCTCCCACACTATTTCAGACTGCGCACAAAAGCGACGAGAAGGCTATTGCATTGAAGCGATGATATGAGCTTTCTGCAAGCGGTGCTTTAGCGGTCCTGGCAGCAGACAAAGGCACGTTTGGGTTGTCACCTCATGAAAGTGTGCAGTATGGTTATAACAGCGCTACACTTGCTGTCTCGGTGCCTGCGATCTACTATGGTCAACTCCACAACAGTGAGCTGTGTTCGTTTCTGCGAAGTGATGCAGGCTAAACACGGTCCCGTACAACGATCAAGGCAGCAGCGATCAGTAACCCTGCGTGCTCGGGTGATCGCCGGCAATTAAAAGCGTGCAGTACACTTAAAGCGGCACCACGCCACACACGTAGGCTTTTTATAGGCGATGTTATACTGGCGCGCTTTTTTAGTGGTTGCTACATCGGCTTTGTTATTTTCCAATGGTTACAAGAAAAGGCACCACCACAATCGCACGGAAGTCGAAGTAATTCATCGGCTGATTTCGAGCTGTTGCAGTGGCGTGATACACAAACACAGAAGTGCAAGCGTACAAGATGGCGATCATCACGTATTATCTGTTTACGATGCGTGCTGTCAACATTCCTTTGGGTTCCATAATCACCTTGTGGACCAGCAATGGCGTAAATTAGACAAAAAAGACCCTTTTAGAGCAGTGTAGCGCAGTAATTTCCAGTTGGTACAGGTTGGCCCAACTGGCAAAGGCTTCTCACCACTGCTTCTTATACTTGAAATAGTACCAAGCTGCATTAAAAATCAGCAGCAACATTGGCAGCAGGTAACACATCTTCAGCAGATTTCTTGTCCCTGCAGACTACACAAACTCGCAGCTGCAGGTGTTGTGTTGATGTCTAAAGAAGTACCGACACAAAAAAATTCTGCATCTTGCTTTGCCTGTTGCAATAAGCACACAGTTGGCAACCAAATGATATCTCATTGGCATGAACACGCAACTGTTAATTATTTCTAAACTTATTTTACAGCGCCAAGTGACTGTTTTAGCAAAGGGGAGCACCAAGAGAGGCGGGAACAAGTAGTTTTTTTTTAAATGCAGTTAGCCAAATGAGCACACAGAAAAAGAACGCAAGCAGCACATGGTCCCACATGCATGTGAGATACGTGCCCAACACTGTGGCAGAGAGCAAAAATTTGGGATGAAGTTGGTTGTTGGTCGTTTCATAACGAAGCGGATGGAAATGTCGCGAGGCACTCACTCTTTTGTTCAGCTGGATTGCATGCAGCCTACTTTGGAACAACTTGAATTTCAACCAGCATTTCGTGCTGATGTTTTGCAGATAATGTATGCATGTGTGTCCATACAGATCTACCTCACATGTTGTCTTGGCGTCAAAAATGTTCTGCAAATGCTCCTTCTAAAATCACTATTTGGGTTAGATAGCAGCTGCATGCTGACTCTAGGTTTCACATCAGGTTGAACTGTTCTTACGGGGAGGTCTGTATAAAAATAAGGTTTTGGCCCACACAAATCTATAGGCCATGAATGTCTTACAGGGTCGAATGAACTGAAATTCACAAAAGTCTAGTCATGACACTCACAATGCAGCCATCTGGATCTTGAACTTGATGCTAGCAGGGCTGAATTCAGGCTTGCTCAGGTTGTGCTCACATTCCTGGCAAAAAGAGACAAGAGAACTGTTTTCACTTGTGGTGACAGTGCTTTAAAAGACGAACGAAAACGATCTTGAATAAACTCTGTAGGAGCACATAGATGGTGAATGACAATCCTGCTACGACCTTTCCATGTTTTTCATAAAGCCACATCACAAGCCACGTGTCATTATTAGGATTGTGCGAATATTGAAGTTTAGGTTCGAAGTGAATAATTTCGAATCTAATTCAAATACCATGTATCACATATAATAAAGAAAGATAGGCATAAACTGCAAAGTACTTTTTAGAAATTGAAACAAAAACTGTGCAAATGCCTTTTCTTTTTTGCTTCAAAGGAAGTAGAAGCAACTTTCAATAGTAGAAGGATTTGACTTTCGGCAGAATGCAAGCACCTGCTAAATATGTTAGGTCTTGGAACTTAGTATGCTTAGAGCGTACAAGCTGGTATGATACGATTTTAAACTTAAATTAATCGATGTGAGAATATGATTTCTTCATTCACACGTGAAGTGAAGCGACGCAGCAGTGAAATTTTTCCTGGATATGCGTTTTCATGGCTTAGCACCCCTTCACTGCAGTGCAACCACCTTTGCAAAGATCAAACATGGACTAATGATGATGATAACTGTGGTCTTCCCTTCGTATCAGGGGGGAGGGGGGGAGGGCACCTTTTTGTGTTCTGACCATAAAAATAACTAAAAATAAATTTTAAAAATACACAACAGGTCCATGAACATTAGAACTGTTCACTGTCTCCCTGACCACCACCTCAGAAGTCTTGCTCTTGTTATTGCTGACACTGCCACGGGGTCTTCAACTGCCGCCATACACCACTTACATAGGCTCTTTCATAACTTAGCACCCTCCACAGTAGCGGAACCACCTTTACAGGAGGTTATATGTGGGCTAACATTTCCTCAGTCATGCAGGAGTCTACAATTATGACACGAAGCAGTGGACTGATAATGTGCAACAACAATGCCAACTAGACGAGGTGAATGATGCTGCCAGTCTAGACAATTCAAATCGGGGAGACATACATGAATTTTGAAGGCTGGAAGCATCACAATCCTGTCTAAGCAGGGCTTCAGAGCCACCGACTACTCACCCGACACCTCTGTGAGCGCTTGATGAGCAGAGGTTTGCGCTTGGGCTGCAGAAAGGCCACGTACTCAGCTTGCAGATCCGGCTGGGACAGTCGCTGGCCAATGCTGCACACTAGGACAAGTATCAAAAACTCAGTCAGAGTTCCCGTTCCCTTTTCACAAATCAAATGCACTGCTTAATGAACATAAGAAATAAGCCAAGTATCTTAATTATTGAAACGTAGAAATAACCATGCTGCAGGTTCAGTGCTTTACCAGTTGATTAATAGGCTATGGCAGTCTTTCCCTCCCACTTTTTCTCAGGTGCCCAGGAGTACCTTAATCTTTCTATAGTTAATAACAATGAAATTATCTCTTAGATCCCTTGTTCCTCTCGCAAGGATTTGAGTTCAGCTATCTCGGTGCTGTTACACTGCATCTTACTGATGTAACAGCCGCTTCTTGCCGGTACTTACCTATGGAGCAGAAACCTGGACATTTACAAAGAAAGTTCAGCTTAAATTGAGGACGACGCAGCGAGCGATGGAAAGGAAAATGATGAGTGTAACCTTAAGAGACAAGAAGAGAGCAGAGTGTATCAGGGAAGAAACCGTGGTTAAGGATTTCATAGTTGAAATCAAGAAGAGGAAATGGACATGGGCCGGGCATGTAGCGCGTAGACAGGATCACCGCTTGTCATCAAGGATAACTGGCTGGATTCCCAGAGAATGCAAGTGGGTTAGAGGGAGACAGAAAGTTAGGTGGGCAGATGAGATTAGAAAGTTTGTGGGTATAAAGCGGCACCAGCAAGCACAGAACCGAGTTGACTGGCAGATCATGGGAGAAGCCTTTGTCCTGCAGTGTATGTAGTCAGGTTGATGATGATGATTTCAATCCAATCAGGGTCTCTGTAGTTAATAACAATTACATTTATCTCTTGGACCGCTCGTTCCTCTCACGATGATTTGAGTTTGGCTATCTCGATGCTATCAGGGTTTATTGGCTTGCTCTAGCTACTCTGTGAAAAATGAAAAACACATCTTCAATGTGCACATTGTCATTCAAGAGAAAGGGGAATATCGACATGATAGGCTTATTTTAAACTTGTGCAGATATTTCAATGCTTCGAATATTTGAACAAATATTACAGTATCCAAAATCACTTGAATTCAAATTTACATTATTTGATATTTTAAAGTATTTGAAAAGAATGAATACTTGGTGTATATTAGTACGCACGTGACCCCCTATAAAGGTGTTTCAGTGCAGAGAATAGTGCTAAATGGTGGAAGCATTTATACGTATGTGTATTGTAGTCCACATGTAAAACCCTGGAAACATGCTTTCATTGCAATAAAGAGGTGCTAAGCCAACATACTCAGAGCAAATCCGCACTGCCACAAAACTTTACTTTAAGGTTAAAGTCACATACATACTAGCCTCACATCAATTCATAATTTTTTAAGGTTAAGAGCTTGTTACACCAGCTTATACAGTTTTTCATTTTGAAGCAGCGCGCACAGGACGAGGACAAAGAAAATTGAGGAGCACGAGACATGTGGCTGTGAAGTGACCATAGCTGTGAAATGAAGAAGCTTTAGAACTCTGAAATGGGTTGTCCCCTCTAGCACATTCTGATAGGTCGGTCTCTCCAGCTCCCTTCTACAAGAGCATCGCTCGTGCTGGAAGGACATGCTTCGCCTGGACTGCGCATTGAACATCATAGCTGATTGTAGTCCATTAAACAACTTTACATATGAAGAATAGATTGAAACGTCGACTTTTTTGTTGTTGCTGTTGATATTAGCAATGTGAGAGATGAGATGGAGTCGGGAGTGCACATGTGTTGAGAGCAGGTCTCGAAGGCTGCGCGTGGTTGACGGTGGAGGAACAAGATGGCGCGAGTGTCAAATGAACAGAAGGGGGCGCGCGTGTGCGCGCGGGAATGCAAGAGGAGAGAGACGAAGCTACGGAGAGAGAAGTCATACATGTTGGATATTTGGCACAAAGAATAAAGGATGTGCAGAGAGTGAAGTGAATGTGTGGGTTGTGAAGTATGTCCTCGAGTCTAACAGCATAAATCAAGCGTGCAATAAATCCGAAAGGCAGCTCGCTTCCAAGCACTGATAGCATGTGTCAGAATGGATCTTTTTCCAGGCTTATTCTTATTCAACAAGGTGGTCACCAATGCACGTTATCATTCAGGGAACCCTGATGATGCTCCTGAGGAGTTATAATATTTCTGGCCATGCATCTGCTTTGCAATTCCTGTGGACTAATTACAAGCACACTCTAATGTGCCACTTAGACTTTCGTTGCAAATGCGAGAAGCAACGGTTAACTGGGCAAATGCCGCAATGGTGAACAGCATCTTAGAAGACTCACCTTGAGCCACACTGACAGGCTCAGTAAAGTAGTCCTCGGGGAGTGGCTCGAGTTCATCGGTGGCGACGGCCGGCTGCATCTCTTCTACTTTCTTTACCTCGTTCTCCTTCCTTCTGCAAGAGTGTGCCACTAGTTATGCCTTTCTTCATTCATCATTTGGACAAAAATAGAACCATGGTTAATCCCAAATAGCCACACCAAAACAGAAAGCAGGCTGTTCATATTTTGCAGGAACTTACCCAACACTGATGAGGCCAGCAAACTTTTTGGCCACCACTGCTGAAACTCCATATCGGTCCTTGAAAAAAAAGAAAAAAATATGTCCTTTCTTCATTTTTGCAAGAGAAAAAAACTACAAATGTGACAGTACCAGAAAGTTCTGGTATCCTTAGTGTTATTGCATGATTTAATGCTAATGCTAACAAGGCTCCACTATATGGCACGAACGACTCCTTCAATATAGCCGAAGGGAGTGAAATGCTGTTGCAAACATATATGCTATCACCTAAATGTAAAAATATTGGCACTATCTGTCACAGCATTGCACAACTGCACTTACATTGGTGTGGAACACATGCCAAAAAGCATCCTGCTCTCTCTTGCAACAAGCTCTCTTGCACATGCACTGAAAACAACTCATCTGGTGTGAAAACACTGAGCATCCCAGCACACCAGCACACTTAGTCTACTACGTGTTACCTGCTTGGTATTAAAAACGGAAATAAATTGTAGGGGAAAAAAGACAAGCCACTTTCTGCTGGTGTTAGAGGTGTGCTAGCAGCTTTTAAAGGACCTTCTTTTAATGTAAAAGAGGTCAAGGGTGGATGAGGGTCCTAAAATAGCACAAAATTTTAAAAAATGCCGACTTTCACAAATTACAATTTGAGGTATTTATAAGCAAAAGTATGTTTGGAAAAATTTTATATTATGGCAAAATACCAGTTGTTTTTCTTAAAAGCTTAATATGCTAAATTACAAATGTTTTTGAAACTGGAAACGTAATTTTCTTGGCATTGTTCATTTTGTGAAGTGAATCAGCCTTTGGAAGTTTTGAGCAAGTTTCTGTGAAGATATTGAAACAAACTTAGTACCATCCTTTTCTGCAGCACTTCAACTACAGGATAAAGCTTTTCTTTTCCTCTCAACCTTGTTAGAATTTTAATTATGTGGCAAATAACAGCTGATTACTGGAAGCTCGTTTTTACCATCTAAGTTTAAAAATTATTTCTGATCAAAGAAATAGCTGTTTTGACATCTAGTTTGCTTTAGCCTGTGGAATGAACCTTTTAGAGGAAACAAGTAGTTTTGAAAACTAGCTTTTTTTATTGCAAGTTATCATAACGACCCAATAACCTAATTATAATGTGAAAATTTGTCATTACTTTGTTTCTTAATGAGATATTCAAAACCTGTTTGCAGATTTGAAATCTCCATTAAATGGTACACATGCATGGTAATTTTCATGACAGTAGGATAATAAATTTAAAAAAACTTTTTTTTAAGACCCTCGTACTTCGTTAAATCCCATAACAGGATTGATGCCACTAAGACACTTAGCATACCACTTCCTAGAACAAGTCATCATAAGTACCTTGGCCTCACCTTTACTAGCGATCTGAGATGGGATGCCCACGTTTCTAACGTTACAGCTACCGCACTGAAACGACTTTTTTTTCTGAGACGATGCCTTCGACTAGCACCTTCTGAAATTAAACTGTTAGCCTACAACACGTACGTGAGATCTGTTCTTGAATATGCGAACATTGTTTGGTTCCCGTACACAAAAAAACATATTGCGAAGCCAGAAGGCGTGCAAAGAAAAGCTGTTCGATTCATCTTTAACAAGTTTAGGCAAACAGACTCACCAACTGAAATGCTCGAAGAAGCGGGCATGCTAACGCTGCAAAAACGAGCAAGACTAGCACGCCTACGATTCATGTACCAGCTACGCCATAAGCAAACCAACATCGATGCCTCCAGGTACATTACACTTCAACAATCACGACCCACCCGTAAGAAGCACCCCGAAATGCTACAAGAATACGCATTCCGTACGGAATGTTTCAAACACTCATTCTTCCCAGCATCTATAAGGGAATGGAACAGCTTAGCAGCTATGATTACTAGCAGCAATTCTTTAAATATTTTTTCACGTCTTCTTGAAGAACATTTGCGTTTGGAACCCTAATATTGCGCTATTGTGGTCATCTTTGCAAAATCCATTGTTTTAGACTGTGTTATTTCGACTCTTCCACACTGTAATCATTTGAATATAGTACAATTACTGTTAGAACTTTATTGTTAGAATTTGGTTAGAATTTGTTTGAATTTGATTGTTAGAAATTGTGAGAACTTGGTAGCATCAATGTAACGCGTATCCTAAACGATGTATAACTTACGGATGTTTTTATTGTGTGCTTTTATTGTGTGTTTTCCCGATGTCCTTTCTGCGAAAATCCCGACAAGGGATTGGCAGTATTTTTAAATAAATAAATAAATAAATACCAAATATTGCACAATAAAATGCCCTTTCCAAAACGTATATGTTGTAGAGCAACGAAATATTTTGGAATGAATAAAAATGTGGAAAGTGTGTAATTTGTGGTTGCAGGCTGACAAGCAGTGTGATAAAAAACACCATATATGCAAATATATTCAAAACAAAGAAAAGTCAGAACATACATTTTGAAGGTAAATGACCTAGGAATAGTATAAAAAGTAATAAATATTATACAAAATGTGTCTATTCACACTGACAAAAAAAAAATTGGAACCGAGGTGCTGCTTCGTTGCTCGTGCGATGCGGTGAAACATTGCTTGGCTTTTCGTGAGACGCAAGTGAACTCGTACACCTTTCTCAGTAATGTTTTTTTTTTTTTTTTGCAGTAACAGCCTGAAGGTGGTACAATATAAATGGATATTCGTGATGTGAATGATCAATCGATAAATCCGATGTTCAATGAACTTCACTATTTCGTCTAGCATCACCTCTTTCCATGAGCCACCTCACTCGGCATAGGCTGGCATTTCAATATATGCATCGAAGCATAATTCTTGGCACATTTGCCCATTACATTATAAAAATTAACAATATCACGCTCAGTTGCAAAACGTTTCGCGCTGTTTTATAGTGGGAGCCAAGATGTGCTCCGGTGGCCTTCTTGTCATGAGGAGCTGTAAATCCAACGCCAGCACACCGCGCCTCAGCGACATATGGACCTCGCACGTAACCAGAGTAGCTATAGAGTTGTGCACAAAGGTCAGCAGCTACACACTTGCAGCAGAGGAGACAACTTGATGCCGTAAACAAAACAAACACATGAACAGCTGTAGATGTCTCAGGTTTATTTATTTATTTATTCATTAGAATACCCTCAGGGCCCGTAGGGCATTACAGAGGGGGTGGGTACAACATATATAACACACAAGAAAAAAAGAGAAAATAAAGAAACAAGTATCAGATGCGCAAATCAGGAAGGCAACATAAGTCAACTAAAAATGTATAAGAATTCAAGCACATACAAGACAAAGATAGATAATGGAAACTGCGTATAGTTACAAGCATTGCTGAGAAATTGCAGTCTTGAATAACAAAGGGTCTGTTATTGATACAACGGAAGAGGGAAGGTGGTTCCAATCGGCGGCTGTTTTCGGTAAGAAGGCTGCTGAAAAGAATTTGGTGCGGCAAAACGGAATGGCAACCTTATGCTGATGATCAATGCGCGATGAGTGGTATGACGGTTGTGAAATGAGGTCTCGCTTCATTGATGGATTGTGAAAAAATATCTTATGAAAAAAATGCAGTCGCGCCAGTTTCCTCCGGACAGTTAAATTGGGTAGGTCAAGGTTAGATTTCATTTCTGATATGCTAGCAGTACGGGAATAATTAGAACAAATGAACCGAACTGAGCGGTTCTGAACAGATTCTAACGCGTTAATTAAATTTTGCTGCACGGGATCCCATATAGCGGACGCGTACTCAAGCTTTGGGCGAATTAGTGATCGGTATAATAGAATTTTGAGGGACAGCGGAGCGCGAGAAAAGTTGCGGTGTAAGTATCCTAGCGTTCGGTTAGCGTTATTACAGATGTAGGTAGATGTTGTAGAGCAACGAAATATTTTGGAATGAATAAAAATGTGGAAAGTGTGTAATTTGTGGTTGCAGGCAGGTTGATGCAAAACATGATCGCCATAAAACCTGAAGCTGAGGTGCTGTCATCCTCGGACTTTAAAGTCGTCCTCACTCAAGTGTGAGGGTGCTATCACCCTTGTAAAGTTGTTTGCGCCTCGTGGCGCATGTCTTTCACGCATAGACTGCATTTCAGGTTCACAACTATCGCATGGTAAATGGCGTTGTGCTCGCGAGCGTTTTAAAGCCCCTATACTTCTTATAAGTACTGCCACCTGCTCTCCTTTCGCCGCCTCCTCTCCAGCGTGTTGCTTTTTTTCTTTCTCTTGCGATAGTGGCACCCCCTGTAATGTGCCACGATCTTGCAGTCTGATTTTGAGCCGGTGGCGCACCCCCCCTGCTGCATTAGTTACAGCTGCTTTTGTACAACTGTGGCCATGTCTCGCATACGACTTTATATAATGATTCTTCTGCGTTGATTTTCTCAACAAGACTGGGTGCGCTCACCGTCAATATTACGGCAGAAGAGCTGCTGCAAGTCATGCACTAGTTGTACCGAATTGCACGTCCTTCAAATTTCTTTTCACAGCCTAGCGTTTCCTTGTTTATCTGGTGCTGATATACATAAATGGATTTATTGAGAACAGGTTGAAATTAAATTCACCAAAACTCGGCACGCTAATTATTGAACCGGTAAGAAATATTTCAATCCTTGGTGGCGGCACGAGAAAGATGAGCGAGTCTTTTTGGCGGGGGGCGGTTAGCGCGAACGGCTGTTTCTAGGGGTGGGCCTACAGTCGACGGCTCCGCGGCTGTCTGCCGTGGGCCCTCGTGGTAAGACAGGGGTTGGTGAAACAGCCTAGTGTTTTCTTGTGTTTTTTACGTTGTTGAGTAATACTGTGTAAGGCTGTTTTAGCGTGTTATTAACAGTTGATGTATAATAATTCAACTGACCATATCTTCAATCTAAAGCAGTTAATAAACTTGTGTTGTTTGGTTCGGTCCGACAGCATCTGCTGTGTCCAAGAGCGTGGCGCTCTCCATATCGAGATCCCACACAATTTAGGCGTGGTTGCAAGGCAGTTTGGAGCTGCGCGTGTTTTTTGCAGCGCAGGTGCGCACCGATGTGCACGTGACAACAACGTCGTAAAAGAAACTAGTGACACTAG